GCACCTAGAGCAGCAGCCTCACAAGCACCTAGCGCAGCAGTACCAATGCCCGGGTCGGGCGGGAAACACCGGTAACAGTCACCCTCATCACTAATAGTCACAGCATACATGGCAGCAAGGATAGCATCAAAGTCAAGATCAAAGATAGCTACGCGAGCCCTAGACAGCTCTCCCCAGCGGAGAATCTCACTAGCCTCGGGGAACGGCTGACGCCGAGCGTCCGTCAGGCGGCCAAAGCAGCGCTGAGTGGAGTGGGCACCCCCACACTGCTCACCCGCGCGGTCGCCGGAACGAAGGACGTAGGTGCACGGACCAAAGCCCCCACCACGCTGACGCTGCGTGTACCACTCACACAGCTGCTGAGGCGGGGGGATGTCCCGAGAACGCTGCTGCTATTGCTCCTGCTGCTGGCGCTGACCACCATCAGAGCCGCTCCGCTGCGGGGCACCACCCCAACCAGCTCCACCCCCTCCGCCACCACTGCCTCCACCTCCGCCACCACCGCCGCCTCCGCCTCCGCCACCACCGCCGCCGCCACCGCCTCCGCCTCCGCTGCTGCCACCACCACCGCCACCCCCGCCACCACTCCCACCGCCACCCCCACTCCCTCCGCCCGCTCCACCGCCACCTCCACCGCCCCCGCCAGCTCCACCCGCGCCCTTGCCCCCCTTGCCCTTGCCAGGGCGGCGTCTCCCGCTAGGGGCAGACGCCGCGCCAACCGACTCAAGGCCAAGCAGGTCGGCGGCAGCAGCAGAGGCAACAGAGGGCTGCAGGGGGGAAGGAGAACACCCCTCAAATATGGGGGTGCGAGGGTCACCACGAGAAGCTCCTACAGCGACGATGCTCTTCTCCGCTGCCAGGAGGGCCTTCTTGAGGAGGTCAACAGTGAGAGTGGTGGGACAGACTGAGAGGAAGTGGTCCCTGACTACGCGAAGGGAGTCAGGGAGGCGGGTGACTATGTAATAGAGAGTGATGTACATGGGGGGGGGGGGGGGGTTCTTGGCGCAGAACTCAGAAGGAAGCGCGGCGCGGTAGCGAGTGTCACTAGTGCGGAGGTGCGTGATGAGGTCAGCGACTGTGGGAAAGGAAGCAAGGTCAGGAAAGAGGTACGGTAGCATGAGGCGGCTCAGTGCAGCAGTGGCAGGGGAAGAGTAGCGCGCAACTACAGCGTCGTACAAGGTCTGAGCACTCTTGTACTGACTAAAGTGCGCGCGCTCTGTGGTAGGGAGGTGGCGACGCACAGCAAGACGTGCAGTAGCATCGCGGGTGGCCCACTGAGAGCGAACAGTGGGGTCAGCATCAGCAGCAGGGGCAGGAGAGGCGCCAGAGGTGAGGTCAAAGAGAGAAAGACCGTCCGCCCTATCGCACTGTAAAAACAGCTGCAGGTCGTCGACCCAGACCTCAAAGTCAATGGCTCGACCCTCAGCGTCAAAAGCGAGGACACTAGGGGTAGCCATGACGACAGACTAGCGGTGCAAGCAGTGGGGGAAGAGCACGCAGTAGCAGTGGGGCTGTGCTCACCAGACAGGGCAGGTCGGGCGGCTCGGCAGTAGGGCGGCTCGGCTGCAGGGACGGCTCGGCGGCTGGGCGGCTCGGCGGCTGGGCGGCAGGCCGGCTCGACGGCTGGCGGCTGGGCAGCTCGGCGGCTCGGCGGCAGGCTGCTGGGCAGCTCGGCAGTACTGCGGTTCGGCGGCTCGGCGGCTCGGCGGCTCGGCTGCTGGGCGGCCCGGCTGCTGGGCGGCTCGGCTGCACAGCGGCTAGGCGGCTCGGCTCCTCCGGTACTCGGCGGCGCGGCGGTCGACTGCTCAGGTGCACGCTGCAGGGTGGTGCAGTGGGCGGCGGCTCGGGTGGCGCGGCAGGAGAGGAGAGCGGCAGGGCCGCTAAGGGAGGCGCCGGGGCCGTTCAAGCAGGGCGGCGGGGCCGCTAAGGAAGGGCGGCGGAGCCGTTGAGCAGGGAGGCGGGGCCGCGAAGTGCAGGGCGGCGGGGCCGCTGAAGCAGGGCGGCGGGGCCGCTTAGCAGAGGGCGGTGGGGCCGCTTAGCAGAGGGCGGCGGGGCCGCGTTAGCAGGGCGGCGGGGCCGCGAAGGAATGGCAGCGGGGCCGTTAAGGAAGGGCGGCGGGGCCGCGAAGTGCAGGGCGGCGGGGCCGCGATAGCAGGGCGGCGGGGCCGCTTAGCAGAGGGCGGCGGGGCCGCTTAGTAGAGGGCGGCGGGGCCGCGTGAGCAGGGCGGCGGGGCCGTGAAGGAAAGGCGGCGGGGCTGCGATAGCAGGGCGGCGGGGCCGCTGAAGTCGAGCGGCGGGGCCGCGAAGTGCAGGGCGGCGGGGCCGCTGTAGCAGGGCGGCGGGGCCGCTTAGCAGAGGGCGACGGGGCCGCGTGAGCAGGGCGGCGGGGCCGCGAAGGAAGGGCGGCGGGGCCGCGGTAGCAGGGCGGCAGGGCCGCGAAGGAGGGGCGGCGGGGCCGCTAAGGAAGGGCGGCGGGGCTGCGAAGCGTAGGGCGGCAGGGCCGCTAGGGGAGAGAAGGCCGCTAGGGCGGCTCGGTGAGTGAATAGCCCGAGGCGCGACTCGGGATGAGTGCGCTTTGGGCAGTAAAAAAAATCGTAGTGGTGGGCCCTAGGCGCGGTTCCCACAGGGGAACCTGCTCTGATACCATGAGAAGAATTGAACGAGAATGGATCAACTATGAATGAAGTGAGTACATATAGGAAACCCTAATTGGGTTGTACCCCCTATGGGATACCCCACTATAGCCTACACAACAATATAAGCTATAATGTTCTGACATCTTCCGCGTCAAAACGAAAGCAGACGGCACAATTGAGAAGTTCAAAGCACGCTGGGTCGTGCGTGGATTTGATCAGGAGCATGGACGGGACTTCACCGAGACATTCGCCCCAGTTAGCCGACACACCTCGCTTCGAATCCTTCTCGCAGTCGCCGCCATGAAGAAAAAGAAACTACGGCAAATCGATGTCGCGAACACATTTCTCTACGCACCCGTTGACGCAGAAATTTTCGTGGAAATGCCGCACGGTACCAACGGGGAACCCAACCAAGTCTGTCAGCTACTGAAGTCGCTCTATGGGATCAAACAAGCTCCGCGACTATGGCAACAGTACTTGCACGCTCGCCTCACTCGCAACGGTTTCAAACAACTACCGCACGATCAGGGAATGTATCGACTTACTAAGGACACCGACTACATTCTGCTGATCGTTTACGTAGGCGATTTACTCTACATCGGTTCAACCGACGGCATCACCACCTTGTTCGAAGGGGAGCTACAGAGGGACCTCACACTCACGGTTTCCTCCACCGTCACACAGTACCTCGGCTTGAACATTCGGGAGGAAGAAGGAGCGATCTACCTCAATGCCGCCAAATATGCCGACACCATCGCCAAACGCTTTGCTCTCACACCAACTACCATCTCCATGCCATACCGCTACACGGCAGAAAACAAAGGCTCTACTCTACTCAGGCCCGCCGGCATACGTGACTACCAGAGGAAATTGGGATGCCTTCTATTCGCAGCTGTCACTTGTCGCCCGGACCTATCATACTCTGCAAGTCAGCTCGCCACCTATCTCAAGAAGCCCGAAGTCGAACATCTAGCGGAGCTCGACCGCGCTCTTCACTACCTCGTCAGTACGCCAACGATCGGCCTAACTTACTACAAGAACGCAACTACACCGCCTAAGTTAATCGGCTACGTCGACGCCAATCACGCCAGTGATCCCGACAATAGACGCTCCCGCACTGGCTACATCTACCGTCTCGAACCCATCGGACGTATATCCCGGCAGTCGAGCAAGCAGAAATTTATCGCTCTCTCGTCAGCTGAAGCAGAATATATTGCACTCTACTCAGCCACCAAGGAGGGACTCTACCTTCGCGAACTACTGGAAGAAGCGAAGCTGGCTCAGTTACCCAGCTTCACCCTGTTCTGCGACAACCAATCTGCAATTCGCATCGCCAACAAAAACGGATTCGCGAACAGAACGGAGCACATCGCCCTTCGGTATTTCTTCGTGAAAGACGAGATCGAGAAGGGGAGACTTGAATTATCCTACTGTCCCACGTCCGAGATGGCAGCCGATTATTTGACCAAGAAGCTCGGAAAGCAGAAGTTCGAATGTTGCATGCTGCTGACTGGACAGAGCCACGTCAGCAACACTCCAGAAGCGAAGGGGAGTGTTGGAAACAATCAGTCTTGAGCGCTCCTGTCGTGTCGAAACACCAAGACACAAACGAAGCAAAGCATATCGAGGCATCAGCGAGTCAACCCTTGGAGGTTGAAACAACCGTCAGAGGTTACGCGAAAGTCAAAGGTCGCTGACCTTTGACCTGACAAATGCAGCGCGATAGCAAGGACACACAGCTGACTCGATATTGAGCAGTTGCCCGAGTCGCAGTGTATCGAACCGCAACAGCAAACAGTAAAACAGTTTGAATTATATCTCTTCGTATTCCTTGTACTCTTATATAAACCTTTGTACTTACTTGTTTTAATTAAACTTACTTTGCCCTCACATACCAGCGCAAGGTGGTTCAAGGACTTCATTCAAACGCTTCCGCTATTACATCACTCTACCCAGAGTTTAGCCCTACCAAAGATCCTAAGGGGCACTCAGCCCAACACTTCCCTCCCCTCCTCTCCGCCTCCACCTTCCTTCGCTCTTCCTTATTTTTCAAGCTTTCCTCACTGACCCTTTCACACACATGCCTAGCACTGTCCTTGCACCTGCCTATGCAACTTACCTCGCCAATCATCTTTTCAACCCGCCCGCATATTTCCTTACCACCACTCTCACCGCAACCCTCACAATCACTCTTCTTGCCGATTTTCATGCGACCATCGTTGCTCCCAACCCCGCTCCCATCCTTCTCACTCTTCTTCCCACTGGTTCTGCCGGGGCATGTGAGCTTGTGGGAGGGCCAGTACACCTTTTGGCAATCTCTGCTGCAATACACCACCTTGCCACACCCACCGCACCTCCTCATCTTCACTCCGCCACCCTCCACCGTCCCACATCCCGCAGCACCGCACACACAGCCGTGGACACCTGAAGCAGCAGCAGCGGTAGCAGCATATGCAGCACGGATGCTAATTGCAGAATGGGTGGAAGCAGCAGGATGGGTGGAGGCAGCAGGATGGGTGGAAGCAGCAGGATGGGTGGAAGCAGGATGGACGGAAGGGGCAGCAGGGGAGGCAGGGGCAGCAGGGGAGGCAGAGCAGTAGCACGGCTCCCCCAGCAGCATCTCTCACAGACATGCCACCAGATTCACTCCCCCCGGCCACGCCTTCAGATACCCCGGCTCCTCCCCATTTTGCCCTTCTTCTCACAGCCGCCGCTGCTGCTGCTACCCTTGTTGCTGCTCCCCATGGCAGACCTTTGCTGGCCCTGCAACCCCTCACAGCATCTCGGGATGATTGCCGCTGCAAGAGCCCACGTGATGTCGAACCCCCCTGTAGGCCTCTCCAGCTCTCTGCTGCCGCTGCACTCCTCACTCCCTCCCTCAACCCTCAACTTCGACATCCATTTCTTCATTGTTGCAAAGTACCATATTTCCACCTCTTCCCACACCTCTCCACCATTCGGCTGATCCATCTCACCATCCTAACAGCCTTGCAATTTCACCCTGCCACCTTTTCCCATTTCCGCCACTTCTTTCTTTCGTGCACCTGACTTCACTCCCTGCCCTTTCTCATTGTACCCTCCCTCAGAACAATCAAGATTCAGAAGAGGACGAGCGCACCACACGGCCATGTGAATGAGGAAGTACAGAGGCACCTGCTCCGCTTGTCTCAGCAGCATCTGCAGGTTCACAGGCCTGGGCAGGCGTGCAGGGAGGTCCAGACACTCAACCAGCTTGTCGAAGCCAGGGGAGGAGGGAGGGAAGACGGAGAGCACGCGGGAGAGCAGATGGCTAACGGGGCGGTAAGCGAAGTTGACAATGAGAGCGACTATGCACACGGATTGCATGAATTCCGCAGAGCAGGTGCTGCACTGGGTGCATGCAGGAGGGTGCATGACATACCCGGCAAACCCCACCAGGAAGTCCACATCTGCCTCGCAGCGAACAATAGGAAGCTTCCTTCTTGGGGGTGGAAGTGTTACTCTCTGCTCGTCGTTCCCAGATGCTTCGGCTCTTCCACGCGCTCTGCTCTGTATGGATTCCTCCCAAGCTCCTCGCTCTATTGACTTGGAAACTCTCCTCCTTGCACTCCTACTGCCCCCTCCTGCTTCAGCTATCCCACGCGCCATGCTCCATTCTCCTTCCTGACTACCTCCTTGGCCTTCTACAAGATGCCCAATCAGCTTCTCAGCTGCTTCACCTCTCCTTTTGGTTCACAGGAAACTTCACAGCAGCTTCCTCGCCTGCAGGCCACTCCTCCCACTCCAAAGCAATGCTGCTTCCCTCTAGAGGCTTCGGGATGGCGTCGAACCTGACCAGAAGGCTAGGAAGGCCCCGAAGCGGATGGCGCATGGACCTGACCTTGCTCTGAGGGTCGTTTATGAAGCACTGTTTCTCTGAGATGGAATCTGAGCCGTAGACCCGGATCCACTGCAAGATGCAACCAACTCGATAGGTGAGTGCAGCAACCACCGGCTTTGTATTGACAGGCACAAGTCTAGAGTTTGCACCAGGCAGGGCCGCTCCTGCATCTGCCCCTTCTTCTCCATCCATCCCCTTTGTCTGCTTCAGGCAATGCAGCAGCCTCTTCCTGGCCACCTCAACAACTGCATTTTCTACCTTCATCTTGTTCAAATTGTTCCCATCATGGAAGAACAACCATGCATCCATCCAGTGCTCTGGTTTAAATAACACTGTGGTGACAGCAAGGGCAAAATCGGTCGCATTTACACCACTCACATGCATACCCTTCGGAGCACTGCTTCTCCAACTGCTACTGCCAGAACTGCTGATGCTGCTGCTGCTGCTGCTGCTGTCCTCAATGCAGTGGCTGCACCAGAACTCCCTCCCTTCCCCCCCACCATGTTCTAGAATCCACTTCATGCCATCCACATACCTCTCCCACACACGTCCCTTCAGATGCGCCCTCCACTTCACGTCCTTTCGTGCCCTCCCCCACACGCCAACAACCCCATCCATCTCTACCTTGCTTCCTGCCTCTTCCTCTCCATGTCTCCCATCCTCCCTCCTATGTGAAGCCTCGCACATGCCCTTCGCCCCCCCATACGTCTTCTCGACAGCCTTCTCCTCAGCCAACCTCATCCCCTTCCCCTTCCCATGCACCTTCTCAGCAGCCTTGCCCCCACCTCTCCCCCTCCCCTGTGCATGCGCCATCTCCAGCCCGCCTGACAGCAGTTGCTGCACAAAGAACCCAAACCCTTCCTTTAGATCAGCACTCTCCTTCACCCCCAGCACCTGCACCAGCATGGACGCAAAAGTGTCAATCTCCCCCTGCCTGCTCCCCCCCAGCTCAGTGACAATTGCTGGCTAGGCAGACGAAGACGAGACCAAGTGAGCTTTCCACAGAGTCACAAGGTGAGGGGATCTCGCTACAAGCACAAGGAACGTTGAGACATTGACAGCACGGCGGTAGGCAGCCCAGCAGCCGCTGCAGCGCCAGCAGCAGGACCACACTGGAGAAGCAGCAGGAGCAGGAGGAGCAGCAGGAACAGCAGGGGCAGCAGCAGGGGCAGGAGGAGCAGCAGGAACAGCAGGGGCAGCAGCAGGGGCAGGAGGAGCAGCAGGAAGAGCAGGGGCAGCAGCAAGGGCAGCAACAGGGGCAGCAACAGGGGCAGCTGAAGCAGCTTTTGCATCCAGGATAGCAGGCAGACGAGATCTGATCTTCTGCAGGTTCATGAGCACACCCACACAAGGCTCAGCCATCCACTCGAGAAACATCCGTTCTGCGCAAAGGCGAGGCGCCCTCTCGGGCTTCCACACAAATAGCACCTGAGGAGACATTGCATGATGCTGCTGCTGCTTGGGGTCTGCTGCGGGGATGCAACGAGGCTGCTGCACGCGCAGGTGGCGACGCAAGTCCTCCAGGTTCTTTATGGCAAGAGCTCGCTGGCTCACTGCACGCTCAAAGCAGCATTCACGCAGATCCTCATCCCACCTGCCCGTCACGTTCAAGTAGTGAACCATGTCCAGCCTAGACACCAGCTGAAGTGGCTTTGAACGTTCCTCCACTAGCTTTCCATGCTGCTCCTCCGGTTGCCCCGGTGGGCTGTCCCGCTCCATCCGGGTCATTCTAAACTGCATACCGTGTGCGCTTTGCAACACCCCAGGATTTCTCATCCCCAATTTCACAGTGAACTGCAACAAGCGTGCTTCTTTCGCGTCATAATCTTGTCTTCTTCCTCTACCGCCTTCTCTGCTTCCCCTCTGTTTGCGGCAGTGAATTGACCTTGTCCACCCTGCTGGTACTGTCCTGCCCCCAGCAAGGCATCCAGCCACTCTTCCAAATTTTGAAGCTCTAACCGCTGCTCATGTTTGGCAGCGCCTACCTTCCCCTCTTCCTTGGCCTTGCTACTGCCAGCATCAGAATCACTGGAATTCAGCTCTGCTCCGCCAGTTCCTGTCGGGGCTCCTCTCATTGGCTTGTGCCTCTCGTCTTCCTTGGTACTAGGCATGATGGAATCCAGTTGAGTGAAATAACCAACAAACGAAGTGAGAGGGAACGAAGGACGACGCACACCAGTAGTTGATTCAACTCCAGGAGCTTCCCTGAACGGATCAGATTTCGTCTCGCCCTTACCCATGCACTTTTTCCAGTGCGGACTCGTTGCTGGTTGTACCTGCAATGAGCTTGATTTGCTCAATTATCAAGCCAGAAAATGGCAAACTTGCTGCTCAAGAGTCACGAACGAGCCTGTTGCTCCAAATTTGTGAAAGTTTGCTCTGCTGCTTCATCATGGCCTAAATGCTGCTGACGTCTCGCATGGCAGGCAGCAGTAGTGCAGGTGGGACTGAAACAGTCGGTTGCAAACCGAGAACAGAAGTTCCTCAGGAGCATCAGTAAGAGACACCTACCTGTGCTCCGTTCGTCTTAGATTCCAAAGCTATTGGTACCAAATGGACGAGTCATTCGTGACGCGACGCATCCTGCGGACTCGCCGAAATTGATCTCGCCAAAAGCCCATGACGGGAGATGCAGGATTCAAATCAAGTTGCTAGTTTCCAGTTGAAGTAGAAACTCGCTAATTCAGATCTGTCGGTTTCACTGGAACGGAAACGGCCGGTTATACGCTCTCTCAGTCCCTGACTGAAGTTCAACGAGACTCTGATTGCCGAGTAAGCTGAAGCTGTGAGACCAATCAGATTTTGTGAGAAGCATCGAGAATGAGATTGACGAGGGGAAAAATGTGCTTCGAGACCAAGGCGCGTTCGAGAAGGTTCCAGATTCGGTCTTGAGGAGTGTTCATCGAATTCGGTTCGGTTGTGTGTGCGACTCGGGGTGAGACGAGGCGCACGCGGTTACTTGAGAAACAAGTGAAGTTACGAATCGCATTTTGTGTCTTGCCTGACTATAAAACTGCTTGTACTCATTCTGGAAATCATACCAATCAGATTCTGAAAATTGCTGATTGACAACTTCAAGCAGAGCTGCGCATATCATTGGATTCGGGAGATCTTGGAGAACACGATAGGCGATAGCAAGTAGACTATTGCCGACTAAGGTGCTTACGATCCTAAGAGTTCGCCTTGTCTCGCCACCATTTTCGAGTTGTCACGGCCATTTCGATATGTCACGCTCATTCCGAAAGCCACGCCCCCGTTTCACCATGTCGCGCCGCCATCCGCTCAGGCGACGGTGAGTCGCACTTGCACCGCGTGCATTTTCTTGAGAATGCGCTCCCTGCATGCTCTCCGCGCTTTCGCCTAGAAGTACGAGCGGTGTTACTCGCATTACAGGCCGCGCGCGCGTCTAGTGCTAAGGCGCGACTGGGGGCCGTGGCTTCACGCGGTCAGGTGGCTGTAGGCTCCTTGAGTCACCGAGACCTGATGGCGTGGCATATGGCGGGGCCAAACCCGTGGTTTAGTTTGGCTCCTGGACGCAAAAGCGGATGATCGTAGTAGCGCGGCTCGGCTGCGTGCTTGCCATGTCCTGCTGTGGTGGCAGTTGGTACGACGAGCACGCAGCGGCGTTTCACGCGTAGCGGCGTCGCTGAAGCTGAGGTTGGCGGGCGTTCCCACTGGCATGACAGCGAGCGCGAGAGAGCTCATTCCCCCACGCAAGGCGCACTGCGGACCTGACAGCACGCGATGCCTAGAGGGGCTGCGTCGGTGTGAGAGCTAAGTGCCGTGAGGCTGCCTTTACGGACGTGCCGCGTATGTGCTTGTACCTTATCGCTTGGGGAGCGCATCGTTGCTTTGTGCATCTTCGCGCTGTGTATCGTTGCGCTGTGTATCATTGCGCTGTGTATCGTTGCGCTGTGTATCGTTGCGCTGTGTATCGTTGCGCTGTGTATCGTTGCGCTGTGTATCGTTGCGCTGTGTATCGTTGCGCTGTGCATCGTTGCGCTGTGTACCGTTGCGCTGTGTACCATTGCGCTGTGTATCGTTGCGCAGTGTATCGTTGCGCTGTGTATCGTTGCGCTGTGTATCGTTGCGCTGTGTATCGTTGCGCTGTCTATCGATGCGATGTGTATCGTTGCGCAGTGTATCGTTGCGCTGTGTATCGTTGCGCTGTGTATCGTTGAGCCTGCCCAGATCTCTCAGTGCAGTGGATATATTACAGTGTGGCGAGTTGGTTGAGGTGCGACAGATAAGGGACTCAGGCACGGATCAGCTCAGCCAGTTCTGCGCAGATCACTCACATCAGGTTGGTCAACAAGCTGATCAACTCAGCCGGTTCCTCCAGAGGACAGATGGTCAGGAAGGGATCCGAGAAAGGGAGAGAGCATGGGACTACCTGGCATGTGACGCAAACTCATGCAATGAAACAGGGACAGAGCCAAGGAGTTGTGGGATGGATTAGGTAGGAGGGGTAAGGGTGGTACTGACAGGTAGGTGACACTGAAGGAGGTTGCTCATGTCATTTGGAGATGTTCAGATGATTCACTCTCGGCTTGCTGCATGTGTGGCGCACACATGGAGAAACATGGGGATGGATGGGATACACGAAATGGGGTTGGATGGGGTTGGACGTATAAGGTTGGGGCAAGGAAAATGAACGATTAGGAGAGGGAGAGGGAGGGGAGACGTGGAAGGACTACAGATGGGGCAATGTACTGAGGTGAGGAGAGGGATGCCTGGGACGTTGATGGTGCGTCCCATCTGCCGCACTGCACGCACGCACATGCGCTGGAGCAGCACTCACATGCGCTGGAGCAGCACTCACATGCGCTGGAGTAGCACTCACATGTGCTGGAGCAGCACTCACATGCGCTGGAGCAGCATTCACATGCGCTGGAGTAGCACTCACATCCGCTGGAGCAGCACTCACATGCGCTGGAGCAGCACTCACATGCGCTGGAGCAGCACTCACATGCGCTGGAGCAGCACTCACATGCGCTGGAGCAGCACTCACATGCGCTGGAGCAGCACTCACATGCGCTGGAGCAGCACTCACATGCGCTGGAGCAGCACTCACATGCGCTGGAGCAGCACTCACATGCGCTGGAGCAGCACTCATATGCGCTGGAGCAGCACTCACATGCGCTGGAGCAGTACTCACATGCGCTGGAGCAGCACTCACATGCGCTGGAGCAGCATTCACATGCGCTGGAGCAGCACTCACATGCGCTGGAGCAGCACTCACATGCGCTGGAGCAGCACTCACATGCGCTGGAGCAGCACTCACATGCGCTGGAGCAGCACTCACATGCCTCACGTACCAGTGAGACAACGTTGCGTTGCCTTGCCATGAGCGTCGCATGTGACGCCCTGCACGGTTGAGCAGTTACTGCTGCCCGACCACGCCTGCCAGCCGCCCCCAAGCTGCCCCCATGCCGCCAGCGCCTGCGGAACAGCTTGACTGCCAGCGAAGGCCGGAGAGGGTTGGACGCAGGGGGTGCAGCCGCGGGCTCACGGAGGTCAGCGGGCACGGTGGAGTGTGGGGGGAGGGAATCCACATGGGGAGGGGCATGGGGGCACGCAGGGACCGGAAGAGGGTTGTGCGACAGATGAGTGAGGGTTGTTGGGAGAGGGGATGAGAAGAGGGAGTGGAGGGAGGAAAGGGAGGGAAAGGAGGGAAAGGAGGGAAGGCGGGGTGATAACAGGGTAGTAGCATAGGAAGGGGGGCATGGAGAGGCAAATAGGGGGCATGGAGAGGCAAAGAGGGGGCAGGGAGAGGCAGAACAAGGATGTTAAGGGTGAGTTGTGCGTTCAGGAGAGCGATTGACCGTTGCAGGACACGCGAAACAGCTAGAGCGCTTCTGAGGAACGCGGTGAAAGAGAGTCACAGTGGCATTGGCGAATCTTGGCATGGAAAATCTCACACCACCCCTGCATGCCGCCGCCCCACCGCCCCATACCTTCCCATTCCGTTGCATCACCCCATACCACCCCATTCCCATACCACTCCATGCTGCCTCACCACCCGCTAGGGCGCACTCACAGCCTGCCGCCTGTATTTGCCACCCCGCCGCCAGCGTGCAGCGCGAGCAGAAGCAGGTGAGCAGCAGCAGTGGGAGCATGGCGGGGCAGGAGATGGGTCTGCGCTTGGTAAGAGCGGCAGGGGGGAACGATAGGGAAGGGGGAGGGGAGTTAATGAAACCTGGAGAGGGGAGGGGAAGGCAGAAGCGAGGCAGAGGGAGAGCGCTAGGATGCAGGAGAGAGTGAGCACCCCCACTCCCCATGACACCACCCCCATTCCCCCCACCTCCTTTTCATTTCCTTCCCCCCTCGTAGCACATACCTGTCAGGGCTTTATTCTTTGCTTGGGTTGGCTTATGCGTTCTTACCTTGGTTCTTTACCATTGACTTTGCTGTACCACTTGTATTCAATGACAATGACAGTTCGACAGTTGGGGGGGTGTCCATAGGGGGGTTGACTCAGTTGCACTGAGCGACGATACACTGCGCACCAATACACTGCGCAACGATACACTGCGCAACGATACACTGTGCAACGATACACTGCACAACGATACACTCCGCAGCGATACACTGTGCAACGATACACTGTGCAACGATACACTGCGCAACAATACACTGTGCAATGATACACTGCGCAACAATACATTGCGCAACGATACACTGCGCAACGCTACACTGCGCAGCGATACACTGCGCAACGATACACTGCGCAACGATAC